TTCAATAGCTTTTTTCAATTTCAGTTCAGGTTACATCACAATCATGTTTTTAATTTTTTTAGTCATTGTGACAGTGTGATTGCTGGATAATAGTTTCTTTGGAAGATTTTATATCATACAATGTTGACTTTCCTATGTTGAACAATAAACTTTCGTCAGCGTCTAGTCTGTTCAAAATGTCTACTTTTTACGATAAATCCAAAGTTGTTTTTCCTCTTGTTGCCATCATTTTTTACACCAATGCAAGCCATTAGGGTGAAATATATATGAGCAATTAGCCAAAGTAAATTGCTCGAATAAAATTACAAATCAGTTACATATCATCCAAATAGTTCAAATATACACATCAAAATCATGACCGGATAGGCAGGATTCCAGATATGAGGATTCTATATATATATATATATATATATATATATATATATATATATATATATATATATATATATATATATACGCACACACACACACGCACACACACACACACAAACATATATATATATACGCGAAAAAATTCGATACTGATTGTTATGATGAATCATTGTGAATTTGTTATTTATCTACTAATTTATCGTTAGTAAAACATTTTGATTCGTGAATTAATAATAAAGAAGAAGCAATTTATATTATCTTATTTCTACAAGTAGTAATAATAACTTTTGCATAGGTATTCAAGCCCCTGTGAAAAATAAATTAGTTCACAGCTGCTGCTAAAATTGAGTTTTTATTATAACTCCCCACCCACTACTGCGTGTAATATCCATCATTACTTTAGAAGACATATATAAATTTATTTTATTAATTAAACAGTCACGTATTTTTAAAATCAGGACCTAAACCAAATACAAATTAGAGGATCTGAAAAAAAATGTCGTTTGAGGTTTATCAATCCTGGGAAGGCTATAAGAAAATTTCCGAACGGTATGACATAGAGAGGGTTTCAAAAGTAGGTATACAGTAAGTATTACCAATATTATAATAGTAGTTCTAAGATTCATTTAATACTAAAAGTCATTTAGTTTATCAAAATCATTTTTAATATTTTTATTTTCATAATATTTATTATAAAGCATTTATTATCATTTTTATTTTTTTAATAAATAATAATAATAATAATGTCATTAACTGGACCATAGCTGAAATTAAGCGAATGGATGCCAAAACGAGAAAGCTACTCACTTGCTATCGCATGCATCATCCCAAAGCTGATATCGACCGTCTGTATGTGCCCAGATCCGAAGGAGGCAGAGGATTAGTTCAACTAGAACTGTCCTACAAAACTGCAACAGTTGGCCTCCAAAGATATTTGGAAACTACAGAAGACTGGATGATGGTATGCGTCAAGGAACATGAAAGTAGTAAGCGTCTCTACTCCGTAATGAAGGAAGCCAACAAATTCAAAATGGAGTTCCAAATGGGCGTAGAGATGCAACTACAGCACAATACACCGGCTGAAACTGCAAAATACCTAAAAAAAGATAGCTAAGACGAATGCAACCGACCAGTTACAGAAGCGATGGCAAGATAAACCGCTTCATGGCCAATACTCTGCCCGTACCAAACAAGCTGACGTAGACAAAAACCCGTACCCATCAGTGGCTACGTAGTGCAGGGTTGAAAGCGGAAACTGAAGGTTTTATCCTTGCTGCGCAGGACCAATGCTTGCTAACTAGGAATTATCAAGCACATATACTAAAATATTGTGTCAGCCCAAAATGCAGATTCTGTGATAAATATCCAGAAACGATTGATCATCTTGTATCATGTTGCACGATATTGGCACCCACTGAATATAAAACCCGACATGACAGAGTGGGCCAATATATGCACTGGAAAATCTGCAACTTCTACGGGAAGAAAACAGAAAGAAACTGGTATGAACACCACCCAGACCCGGTTACGGAGATGGGACCTGTTACAATTCTATGGGATTACACAATACACACTGACAGAACAATCAAGGCCAACCGGCCAGATATTGTTATTAAAGACCACAAACAAAAAACGGTGCCTCCTTATTGATATGGCAGTCCCTGCTGACTGCAATGTATCTTTGAAGATATTCAAAAAAGTTGTCAAAGTACAAGGACCTTTGAAATAGAAATCTCGAAAATGTGGCATATGGGAACATCAACAATCCCTGTTGTAGTTGGAGCCCTAGGACTGGTTGGAAAATATTGCAGTAGACTAATTGAAGGGATTCATGGAAGTCCATGCCTCAAGGAGATACAAAAAATTGTTCTGACAAGTACAGCCCACACCTTACGAAGGGCTTTATCTATGTAATTTAATTCTTTTTTTTTTTTTTTTGTCAGTGAAAGTGTCATGACGCCATTTCTAACCTTAGGGTCCCAAGGGACCTGAAAAGAAAATGTAAACGCCAGAAATCAAAGAAAATAATAATAATAATAATAATAATAATAATAATAATGAAGAACAATCAAAGCAAATCGCACATACCTCGTTATTGGAGACTGCAAACAAAAGCAAAGTGGCTCCTTATTGATATGGCAGTCTCTGAAGACTTCAATGTATCTTTGAAGATATTCAAAAAGCTGTCAAAATACCTTGAAATAGAAATCTCAAAAATGTAGCACATGGGAACATCAACAATCCCTGTTGTAGTTGGAGCTCTAGGATTGGTTGTAAAAGATTCAAATAGACTAAGTGAAGGGATTTCTGGAAGTCCATGCCTCAAAGAGATACAAAAAATTGTTCTCACAAGTACAGTCCACAATTTACGAAGGGCTTTATCTATGGAATTTTTTTTTTTTTTTTTTGTCAATGGAAAGTGTCATGATGCTATTTCTAACCTTAGGTCTCTGGTTGGGACCCGGAAAGAAATGAGTATGCACCAGAAATCAAAGAAAATAAAATACTACTACTAATAATAAATAGTTTGCAGATAAAGAGGAGTGTGTGAATGACTGAGGTAAAAAGTTTAAACATTTGAAGGATTGATATGATTATTAATATGCTTATTATTGATATGTTTTTTTATCGATAAGTTTGCACAATAAATATAATGCTTTTTGTGCACACGTTTTCTTTTTCATTACTGTATACCTACTTTTGTACCCCCTGTATTATCGGCTTCGTGTTAATGCTTTCAGGATTGGGCCAGCTAAGAAAGATTTTACTAAGATCGTAAACTAAGTTTCAGGCAACGCAAAATCAAGCTTAAACGGTAAATCTGAAAAACACACGAACAGATGTGTATGTTTTAATAATTTCTTAGCATTTATTTAGTTTGCGTTTGTATTAGAGACAAATATATATATAATGACATATGCGGATACTATTCTTCAAATAAGATAAGCATGTAAGCATTCATTTGTCTAGAAGTATGAAGTTCAAGTATTTATAAGACATTCTTTGTTGCATCATCAGATGTAGAAATTCAAGAGAATGATTCCAGGAATCAACTATGGTTTCTGAAAACTTCAAAGCAACACTATTTTGAAACAGAACTTTTTTCTTTCTTTTCTTCTTTTCGAATTTGTTGGTTGCAAAAATGCTCCTCCTCAATGGAGACAAAGTTAGAGAAGCTTTCATAAGTACTTAAATGGGGATAACCAGGTATTGTAAGCAACCTCCTACAACCCGAAATATGTGTCGGTTTTTAAATATCCTCCAAAAGGTTGATAAGCCGTAAAAAAAAAAAAACAGTTAATCAAGTCTAGATCATCTTAAAATCTTCGGCAGTTTCGGCAGGACTTTGTCTGCCCCCCCTCCCTTCAAAGCTTCATAGATTCTCTTCTATTTCATCAGCTTATTGTGCTCACAAACCACAGATAAAATAAATTACAGGAAACATAGCCGTCCAATTTAAGAATACGCAACGATCAGGAATGGCAGAACAGTGAAGAATCCTGACACCAATTTTGGTGCTAGCATTGTTTTCAAAACAGAAAATCGATGAGAACTGGATATTCTTTGTAAATGGAACTTCATTGATATTGTCTTCACTAATCTTGTTCCTTTCGACATATGATTTCACAAGAATTTCTCCAAAAAAGAAAAAATATTTAAAAATAACCTTTACATTTTCGGAATGTAAAAAGGATTCAGAGATATTAGTTTCCGAAAATGTCACAATTATGTTCCTTATTACAACTGACAGTTAACCATATTGTGGTTATCCATAAGGAATAGAAAATAACGTTTACCTAAATATTTGACTTTTTATGCCTGCAACAGAAAGATGAATTTCTTCTTTTTAAGCCATTTGTTGAAATGAAATGGTTTCGTTTATTTGAGATATCCGCATTGTTTTCTCGGTGATTATTTATTTCGCATATAACGAAAAGCTGCATTTATCGGGACTCAGTGGAATTGATATTCTTTCTGCTACACACACGCACGGACACATAGACAAACATACAGCTTTATTAGCAGAGACTGCCAGTCTGTTGCCCCAAGTTACGACTCTTGATATTTGACGCTGGTAATATGAATTTTAGTCGTGAATCGTCGACACAGCAGCCGCTTCAACACAACAATGGTAGACTGAAACTGTTATTAAGTTTGTATATGGCCAGCCTTATCAATCCATCTGTCATGTCCATAACTTATAATCTGATAACTGACATTCTGAGTTTGTATTTGAAGCAAGTCTACTAAGTCCAGCTGTCATCATCTGTCACATCTTAGGGTCACATTTATATCGAAAGCTTCTAACTCGTCTTTCAGAAGAGCCAAATGGAAAAAAAAAGTGGGGCATATTCGATAAATTGTACAGTTTAAGTTTATGTATGAAGCAGTTGTCGTATAATTTACAATTGTTAAATTGACCGTTTAGAAATAGTCAATTATCATTAAAAAAAACTAGTTTCCTGAAATATTTCTGATAACGAGGCTTATCTCAGAAAATTTGGAGAGGAAATCGATATCTTCTTTTCTGTCACGAAAGGCCTGAGGTCATGCCATTCCTACAGATCAGTTCCAATGGATACCTTAATTAAAATCATGAAAATCTTTGTAACAAATACGGAAGCACTATGTTACCTGATGCACAAAAAATATACACACATATTCTTTCCCTTTGTTCCTCTCTTCAGTTTTACTCGTCTTTCGCTTTGTCTCATTCTTTAACATGCTGCGATTCCTTTCAAGGTTCCTCTCTGTTATGCCTGCCTCACCCTCAGTACACTCACTTTCTTTTCTTATATCTCTCTCTTTCTCTTTTGCCTTTTGCCTGTGTGTGTCACTCTCTCCTCTTCTTTCTCTCTCTCTCTCTCTCTCTCTCTCTATATATATATATATATATATATATATATATATATATATATGATTCTAAAATATGAAGCTTCAGCATAAAATATGAGAATGAAACTAAATATATAGTTAGATATTTGAAGTTTATAAAGATTTTCCTACTTGTTCATTATTCAATCGTATATATATATATATATATATATATATATATATATATATATATATATATATGTGTGTGTGTGTGTGTGTGTGTGTGTGTGTGTGTGTGTGTGTGTAATTATTATATTAGGCTCTCCTTTGTACTGAGCACTGTTTATTAAAATAAACATAATTGCTCAAGAACTCTGGATTATAAATCTGACTGTTCTTTCCTATTATTTAAATATTATATATATGACGGCTTGACTATTGCATCTAGCATGGAACAGACTGCCGCCTCTGAGTGTTGAATTCAATGTTCATTTTTATATTTACATACTCTCTCTCTCTGATATCGAACACTTTATCTCATAAATATACCACACCTGAAAAGTATATTTCTACATATATATATATATATATATATATATATATATATATATATATATAATCTGAGGTAAAAAAAAATGAAGGTACAAATTAAAAAAAGAAGAAAAATTACTCAAGTTACCAAGAAAGTTAAATTTCGGCATTAAATGACCCATAAGGGTTTGACGTGCCGTTAAACAAACAAACAAATTTAACGAGCTAATCTAACAGAAGATAATATGTAGTGGATTTGTTCCACACTGAGTATATATATATATATATATATATATATATATATATATATATATATATATATATATATATATATATATATAAAATAACATAAGCATGCTTATGCTGTAATTTGGAGCACTTTTTAAAAAAATAGTGTTTTTGGTTATCGGAATTTTATTCCATCTATACATACCGTGTATACGGATATGTCAGTGAGGGAGAGACAGCTTTGTATGTGAGTCAGCAGATATCTTTACACAGGCATATGCAGTATGGATGTTTATCCATGTACTTGCGTGAGAGATAGAATGTGTCTGTGTGTGTGTGTGTGTGTGTGTGTGTGTGTGTGTGTGTGTGTGTGTGTGTGAGAGAGAGAGAGAGAGACAATATACATACTTATATAAAAACTTATGACAGACAAAAGTATGGTCATCAATAAAGAAAATAAAAGATGGAAGGTTTATTGTACGTTTCTCATAGAAATCCGAACACGGTTTCTTTTTTATTTTTTACTCCTCGAGCCAAGTCTTCTTCATGTCGATATAATTACATCACGTCGATATATAATTGCATATTATATAATTCTATTGCATACAGAGTAATACAGAAAATTACAACAGAAAGATAATTAAAGTATAATCATAGTTGCATTTTAACGTCGGCTTCATTTGAAAGCAGTACGTGTATCGGCAAGGTATAATATTCATCATTAATGCTCACTGACTTTACCAATACTTCCCTTTTCTTAGCTTTAGTCATTCTCAGTAATAACATGCTAAATAATTCAGTAGCGATGGGAGCTGAAGATGAAACAGTACGGTTTATAATATAAGAACAAACATTTTGGGGGCAATTTTTGGCACTTCCTATATTGCACAATCAAAATCGGGAAAAGGGATTGCCGGAGGTCATGAATTAAGCTGAGTGTTATTAACAGATTATATACATTGCGAGAGGTGCTAAAAAGTTATCAGCACGATCAGAAAGTTATAATTTTTTAAAAAATCTTTATATTTGGGCAGATTTTTGGAAGTGTGTCGGACAGAGAACTTTTCAGCACCCTTCAGATAAACATTATTTTAAAAGATTGTTCACCTGTATAGGTTGCTACTTGATAACCGAAGTGAGATGATATTTTGACAGCTCAGGCTACACATATTAGGTAATTTTTTTCGGAAGAACAATCGATAGGACTCCTTTATTATTGAAATGCTGTTTGCTATCGATCTGTTTGCTAATTGTGACATGTAACTTAAGAATTAGTCGCACTAAATGCTCACGTGGCTGCACACACAAGCACAGATTGAGGGGCATTGACCTAGAATTCTCCTCAGAGACTCTGTGAGTGCAAGCGTTGTTAGTACTTAGACATCGACCCGTTTCCGATTTCATCGCTGATGGCTTCTAGCAGTCAAACACGTGCAGATACATAGCTCGGTAGTCGATAAGAAATCAGTAGAATCAATACATCGAACCAAAAGAAATTATTCTCTTGCTTACTATTTGATGCATGGTTATACCAAATGGTATATTTTTGGTAGTTTGGGGCAAAAATAGAAGTGGATGTGAAGACAGCGGTGTGTACAATTCTGTCGATGCATGTACAGTGCGAGCGTGTCTTTTCCCGAATCATAAGAAGCACTTTTTCAGAAATAAATAAATGAATATTACACAATGAACAAATGCTGATGTGGAAGAATCTTGCTCTATATAAATGAAATCCTAAAATCACATTTGAGAACAATACATCTAAATATGTTAGTATATATATATATATATATATATATATATATATATATATATATATATATATATATATATATATATTATAAATTTAAATTCATTTTCCGTTTCACCTTTTGAAAGTGAAGTCTGAGATCCAGAGAAAAATAAAATTTTCTGGTGAAATAAATTATTACAATGGAGCGTTAAAGTGGTCTGTTTTTCTTTAAAATTATATATATATATATATATATATATATATATATATATATATATATATATGTATGTATGTATATATATATATATATATATATATATATATATATATATATATATATATAATATATATTTATGATGCTATATTTAAGGGATGCTATATTTATGGATAAAAATGCTCAGTAACAAGGACAGAATATATGTAAAGCAAGCAAGCAGCGACAGTCTGTTTCGTGCGTGAATATAATCTTTAGGCCATGTGTATTGTGTTTTGGCGCGAATATTTTTTTATGCTGTTGCAAGGTCTATTGTATTATTCTGAAGGTTATTGAGTAAGTGGTTACGGTTATATTTCCAAATTATTCTAGAGGTTATTGAGTCGAAATAATTGCAGATTTGAATGCAGTTATTTGTAGTTATTATTTACTTTATATGTTAATTTATTTAAATTTTTTGTTTATTTTTTATTTTAATTTTTTGCAGAGATTGATGATCTTATTTGTTTAATTATTTGGCCTTTTATAAAGTATCTTACTTTGTAAGCGTCTTATATATTTGCAGATTTGCATTTTTCATGATGGCATTTTACAAAGGATTCGTTTTTATATAACGTCGTAAAAATTCGTTTTTATGTCTATATTTTGAGATAAATCTTATGGCTTACTAGGTAATTTGAGTAAAAAAATTAAAGCAATAGTATTGATTAGTGGAGAGGTAATGGTTTCTACAATTGAAAATTTCTTATTTAAAACTTATAAATGTTTTAAAGAATTTTACCATCACGACGACATGTAAAAAAAAAGAAAAAGAAAAGCATGATTTATTGGCTTTGTATGTTGATATTTATAATACTTATTCATGTTGTCTTCAAGAAAATATAATGAAAGGCTCTGATATTAATATTTTAGTTAGACAACACAAATTAATAGCTTTGTAAAGAGTAACTATTATGGAGATTTTGTCATCAATATTAAATGGAATAACATCCATAGATATTAGGCCGACAACGTTAGTAATCTCGTCGACCAACGACATTGGAAAAAGTATCAATAAAATTTTTTAAAATCTCCCTGTAAAATCTTTGAAGACTCTGAAAGACCTGCAGTATTTATATGATTTAGAACAAGATAGCGAAGTTTGGAAATGACTGATATTGATAATTTTGGCGAAGGTGAGAAATCACACTGAACTACAACACTATTTTTATTCCCACCATTTATCTCTGTGCCAGAGTAGAATAGAAACTGACCTCCTGTCGATACTGAGCTTTTTTTACAAAACCGAAAGACGTTTTTGAACAAGGAAAAAGGTTAAATTCTGATAATCAGTAGCAGACTTTTCATGTTCGAATGGTTGTCGCAATAAAATATTTCTGTTAACTGTACTAAGCAAAGAGTATAAAATAGTCAAAACTCTGAGGCAGTGGGCAAATAATGGCGTGCATTTTTGCCGTTTATACTTGGATGTTTGTGCGTTTGCGAGAACGTCTATAATTTTGTGCCTCTTTCTAATTTTGTCCAATGAAATCACGAGTAAATGTTTATCCGTCCGTTTGATTTGTGTTTTCCAACGATCTGCATAACTTTGTCTATACAACGATGAAGACGATCGATTGGCAAATGCGTATCGATCAGTATTGATTAATTCGAACCGGCCCATCCTTGATTTAACATCGTTCCTACCAATAAGCTATTATTTCCTTGAAAAGTAATTTATCACATGCATTGAAATATCGACAGTTTAACAGTAGTAAAATGTGTGTTTAAGCTTTCCTTTGGTAATTAATTTAAATAGACTCTAATAACAATGGGTAATAAATATTTCCATTAATTGCCTCATTAACACAAACATTCAATTTTTATTTAATTCATTGAATGTTTTTAATCCCCAGTGGCACTGAATTCATAGTTGGACTGAATCCCTAGATGTACTAGATCTAAGTTGCACTGAATGCAATTATTTAATGATTTGAAATTAAATGATGTATTATTTTCATATCAGTTCTTTAGAGAGAAATGATCAGTTTCTATTTGAACCTAGCAATATCAAGATGCAATAAATCGAAGTTACACTGAATTCTAAATTCAAATGGATCACAATTTCTATTGAATGCAAGTTGCATTTACTTCTTCCATGGCAGGAAATAATCCAAACTCTACTGAATGTGACTTTGCTGAAAACCATTTCTCAACTGAAGTCAAGTTGCTAAGAATCTATTTTTGCACTGAATCGCATTTCCATTTAAACACTACATACAGGAAAATCCATGTTGCATTTGAATGCATGTTGCATTTGAATCCATG